AGCAAATGTTGGTGTCGCCGGATGATAAGAGCGACGACAAGGAGATAGACTGGTGGTGTTGACAGTCGGCGGCAAAGCCAAACAATACTTTGGGGACAATCTCACTCTAGATAAAATTCAGAAAATGTCCACCAATGAAATCGAAAAGCTCTACAAGTCCCGGCTCGGGGCCGAGATGACGAAAATTATAGGATCGACTATGAAGCAGATCTACACCGGCATAGCGTCGTACTTCCTTCCTATTCCCCCGGAACATCGGCTTTATCTGTGTGAAGATCTCGAGAAAGATCCGTTCATCGAACACGCTTTGATTGCTGTCAGCTGCGTGTTGTACCAAAAAATATGGCATGTTTTTAACCCGGTAACCGCAGCATTCATCACGACAAAACATTGTCAATTTAAAGAGGGGAAAAATAATGATAATAGTATACAAGATGGATGCTGCCCAGGAAGAAATGACGATTCAAGTCACCAGGAAGAAGACCCCTAAGAGAGTCTCCGCCAGTAGAAAAGGTGGTTTAGCCAAGCACCACAAGAGCAATTATACTCTGCGGGTCACTGCAGGCACCGCTACTGCTGTTGCTCTCTCATTATTCATGTTATATAATAAACATCCAAAACCAACCCCACCCCCACAAAAACAAACAGAGGTCAACCCCCATATTATGTTATAATTAAAAATATATATTTTATATAATATACATAATGTCGGAGGGGAAAACGTTCGTTAACGATGCATACCACGCCAACGTGGTCTCCAGTCTAGCCGTAGGATATGCTCTTTAGCCAAAATGGTGCTTAAACAACCGACAATCAATATCGATTTCAACCTGCAGGATATGGGTATGCTCATCATGAACCTGGGTATGGTGATGGCCACCAAGGACTACCTCGTAAAACAAGGGATCATACCACAATATATTTTGAAGTAAACATAACTATATATAGGATGGCTACGATCGCTATGATGGTCGGCAGGGCTTTAGTAAACACCCTGGCATTTTCCAGGAGCAATTACCTGTTCTCGAAATTACGAGAGTCGAACGTGGCCGAGGTAGAAGCGTAACGAAAATGGCACGACATAGCCGTGGAGAAATTACAAGCCACGCAAGCCGAGTACGCGAAGAAACATATGCAGACACTCGATTTCATTAACGGCCAGCTGGTGCGTGAAAACCATGCCGTTCGAACGTTCAAGGACGTCAATGATGCCGTGAAAGAATACTACCTGCTAACCAGTAAACAGCTCGAACCCCTCGGCGATGAACCCACGCTCTCTGTATTACACAACTTCCCCGGAACAAAAAAATTGAGAACTGGCCTTCATTGCACTGGGCCTAGCAGCGACCGTGTTAATCGAAGGCAATTAACTAGACCTTCAAACATCAAATGAATATGCTGAGAAGTGACGGACACAGGATATACGGACTGACAATAAACAAAACGTCCCTGTCGTCGATGGACACGAAACTTTGGATCGCCATTGACGGGATCAACACATTGAAAAATTGAACTAAAAGAATAACCGTATATATACAATGTCAATTCAACAACAAAAAATTGAAAACATTTATTACAGCCCGCGTTGGTACTGGAAAGGAGCCAGTGCCATAGACAAGCTTGCAGAAATAGCAAGAGTATCACAGAACGAAGCCAAAGCATGGGTGGAAAAACAAGCCCTGTGGCAAATCTACCTACCGGCACCACGCTACGTGCCTAGAAGAGAGTTCAGTGTGTCAACGCCCAATGGCGTTCACCAAGCCGACCTCCTGTTTCTACCCCACGACAGGAGGTACAAGTACACCCTAACCGTCGTTGACGTGGCCAGGCACTACAAAGAAGCTAAACCCTTAACCGTGAAAGATTCGACCCAAGTAGCCGACGCATATACAAGCGCAGTCCCCTGGCATGGCCCACTGTGCACAACATAGATAAAGTGGACATCAAAGACGACGAACCGAACTTGTACTATTTGAAGGATGGGCCGCCGAGAGGGTTCGTTAGAGAGGAATTATTGGTCATACCTCACGACACAATGTTGCCACCACTCAAAAAATAAAGCATTTGCTAAGATTTGCTTAGATTTGCTAAGATTTGCTAAACATTTGCTAAGGTTTGCTAAACTAAAACACCCGATAAGCAACGGGTTGGTAGGTTTTCAACACGAGTTTGGTGTGTTTCTTTTCGGCGAGCTGTTTCTTCACTCATTCACTAGTTTGCTAGGAATCACGTCGTTTTCTCTCAAGCATTTCTCGAATGAATCCTTGTCCTTGCAGTGAAACAGGGCGACCCATCGCGTCTGTTCCCTGAGGTTTTTCAACACGGAGTTGAATTTCTGCGTTATCACCCAAACGCTGTGTTTTGCATGCCGGCCCGAGAACGCTAAATACGATAGCATGTCTCTCTTTTTGTTATCTCTTTATTAGCGCTGCAGTCGTCCAGGATTAACATCGTCTGCTCCCCTTTAAATTTGTTTTGATAAGCTTTCAACCAATCCTGCAGACATGTTCCCGGGTCGACTTTGTGTACGTCCGTGTTAGTCATCACTCAAGATCTCCCCGTGTACGTTTTGTTGATGTGTAAAGTAGGGCACATGATAATGATGTTATCGAAGGTATCCCGGTAGAAACCTTCCAGCATATCCAGCACAAAAACGGTCTTCCCACAACCCGTCTGACCGCAAACGATAGCTCAGTGCGGATCACAGGGCAGATCAATAAATTGCTTATGCGAATCTTCCATTGTCTATATTTAGTTGCGCGCCAATAATGACCTTCAAATATAATTTTAATTTGCCTTCTTTTTGCGATTTTTTGTGATTTGGATGGTTATCCCCTCGCTGCCATGTAGCCTGTTGTCATCCGTGGATTGCATGTCCAACCACAGCGCGTACTTGGTGGTCAGGTTATCCCCGATCTGTAGGGAGGATAGATCCAGGTCCTTGGCTACATTGTCGGCTTCAGGTGGGTGCTGGGTCGGTATCTTTGTTATCTCATCCCACTGCTGGTAAGCGGCTCTGATGCCTAGAGGCTCTCTTAATCGTCTAAAAGGATCTAGCTTTCTTCCGCATTGTGACATTATTATACACATAAAATATATAAGTTAAATATAAGACTGGTTTCTCAACATCACGCTCGGCTCTCCCTACGTGTTCACAGAAAACAAAGACCACTACCTAAACAAAGTCGTGAACAACGGAACCCTGCTCGTGGCTAATGTCCCGACAGAGAGGCGCAGTGTGATCATCAGCGCAGTCTCGAGTACGACATCCCACATGCTATCGAGTAAATCCAGGGAGCAAAACGTGTGGTTGCAAATAGTGTCTGAATTCGAGGGCGTTGTCAACATCCTGGAAAATCTACCGGATAATTCCACGCTGGTCATCCAAGTCTACCTCGGTGAACCATCATCACCAGTCGAAATCATGAGAGGAATCAAACTCCGGTGGACCAAACAACAATACAACATTTGCTCTGTTTACGTGCGGGTGAACGTCGAGTCCCACGCCAGTCTGCAGGGGGTCACCTTGACCATGGAAAACATATTACTCACCAAAATTTTCCTACCTGACAACATACATCTCATGGGGTACACCTGAGAAATTATCAGAAAATCAATTGGAAACTATTTTATAACATTGTATATAGACAATAAACAGTCGTCATCCCAACGTCACACTTGGTGATCAAGGGGACACGGAGGGATTCGATCAGGCCGGCGAAGAAAACGCCTTGTACGTCCTACATTTGAAAGACAACGTGTACGAGCGGGTGTCTCTGGCAGACTTTAAAGAACCCGAATGGTTGATCAACATAACCCTCACCGCACCTTACATTTCTTTAAAAAAAAAATAGGTATGTCTCCGAAATTAGGAACAACGGCGTCTCTCTCGCGTCTTTCATTCCGGGCAACATGTTAGTTTCAGCCGTGAAGTCAAATTTAAGTAAAGTAAAATTAAACACAATACACGACCATATTTCCACCGCACTCACTGACAATAAAATCTCAGAGGAAGAGTTTCGTTTGGTCCTCTCTGAACTCGCAAAATATCACAGAATGAAACAAGAGATTCGAACCAAGTCTCATAAAAGCAATGCCATCAGCGAAGACGAGAAAAAAAAATACATAGAACAAGGGATACAACACGCCCTCATTTCGAAAACCAAAGAAATCATAGGAGATTCACATGAAATTGTTTCGCCGAGATCAACATTATATAGTTTATTGATGCGAAAATTCATTGCTAGGACAAACAACACTTACCTCCCTGTCGAGTGATCACAATAGCGCACGTGACCAGGAAGTACTTGGATTGAGTCATAGGCCGCATGACCAGGAAAGTGCCGATTCGCGGCCATAGTGACAAGAAAGTTTTGGGCCGAGCAAAATGTGGTATGCACACTAGCGGGAAGAGATAAGGGTCTGGCAAAAGCTTTATTTGATAAATAAAGCTTTGCAATGGCTTTTTGTCAGAAGTGATCTCGTACCCCTGTTATATATACTACTTATGTCCCTCAGTAAATGTGATGCATAGGATGCTTATTTCTTTCAAGCTTATAGTCATGTCCCTAGTGTATATTTATAGTGAGTGAGTTTAGTTTAACACCTTTTTTTAATATTCCAACAATATCACAACGGGGACAGCAGAAAAAAGTGTTATCAATGTGTATGAGCCTAATGTGATGATGACTAGTTGTCCGGGATAAATAGTATTTTCATTTACCTTCACTTAAACATCAGTGTTTGGGAATGGAACCAGACTGTATGGGGGTAAGGCAAAGGAAATATGTTGAAACTGACAAAGTCAAACTGGGTATTTATGTGATATTAGCAATATTAATGAAATCAGTTGCGTTTTCGCTTGTTTTGTGATTTGACTTTGTAATGTTTCCATCTATCTTAATGTGTAAGTTCATCTTCTAGTGATTGACTGTGGGGCTCCTCGACTATGACTTTGTGTTAGCATGCTAATGTGAGAAGAATAATACTCTGCATTTTCTCTTGGCGTTTCAGAAACATAAATAATTGGAGTCACAGTTTACTAAAAGAGTAATAAAAATGACGTCCCAGGAACTACAGAGACACAACCAGACAGTACTTGACACCTTGGAAGAAGGTGACTTGTTGGAGTTTGATCGAGGACTGTACAGTCACTGGGCTGTGTACGTTGGTAAGTGTAGTATAACAAAAATATTGATGCAAACGCTTGTGTTTATCTCTTGTTGCATGTTGAATACTGTGTTAATAATATTCGAGGAATATGACAGTGGTCTGTAAATAACCCCGGCTGGCTCAGCCAATCCTGTGATTGAAATCATGAGCATCGATCCATGGAATAGTTAGCATTCACAATATGTACATACAGATTTACAGTAATTTTAAGATGCTTGACGTTTTGAGATCTGTACAATTAAGATGCGAATCTAGTATTCCGTCATTGATATCACAATGCATATGTCCTACCTGTGCAGATCTTGTGTTTGTCTGCTTGTTTCTTGTTGAATGCTGTATCATCACCCGTGAAGATTCGGGTTACAATTGGTCTTCAGCAACCCATGCTGGCCGTAAGAGGCGACTATCGGGGTGGGGTGTTCATGCCTGCTCACTTACTGACAGAATCGATTATTTACAAAAATGGTCATAAAGTAGAAAATACGCCGTTAAACAACAGAGAAAACAAACCCATATGTCCACGATTTGAGCATTTCAAAACCAAATGTGTCAACATGGAAATTGAGGCGCGTAAAAGGAATTTGTCATGTCTTTTCTAGGTAACATGGAAGTGGTTCACTTGTCTGGAGACGATGGTCAAATGGGAAGTAACCTGGGTCACTCATGCTCAATAAGTGGAGTAGAGTCTGATAAAGGAATCATTCGCAAAGATAGGTTTTGGGACGTTGTTGGAGACAGCAAAGTGGACAAGAACAACACAAAGGACACGAAATCAGAGTAAGTTTTGTTTGTTCAATGCGGAGCTAATTTAATTTCCACTTGTAAGATGGTGTGACATGTATATATTTGGTTCTGGACCAGACAAACCAGTGATTGATAGTGTCGGAAGTGAATGTTACACCCAGTAACGATCCTAGAAGAACTGTTCATTTTGAAATCCTGGAAAATGGTTTATATCCAGTTGTTGTCACTCCATCGTCTCCAATAATACCACGGAACTGAATTCCAAATGGTCATAGTGTTGTTCTGTTGTTTCCAGACACTTGGAACCATCTAAGATAGTAAAAAGAGCATTATCCAAACCTGGAGAAGTTGGATATAACCTGCTCTTGAAGAACTGTGAACACTTCGCTTCATGGTGCCGGTACGATAAAGAAGAAAGTGATCAGGTTTGTATTTGTCCAACTATTCCTTTGCCAGGTTCATTTGTCTTAATTACGTTGAAATAGGTTTAGATCTGCTCAGACAACTATTTATCTGAAAGGTATTGTTGTGAAGGGACATCTAAATTCGATCTTGAGGTATAAAGTTTACACATCTGAGAATAACCGTCCCATCTTCTGGTGGCCAGGTCTGGAAGGTTTTGGACCAACTGGTCTTGGCGCACCGTGATATTAAACGTCAAGATGAGAGAGGGTCAGTCTCGTCTATTTTGCAAAACAGATTCTTTTGTTCAATGGTAAAATAGTAGTAGAAATTATATGAACGGATCACTGAAGAATTCGCCTCAAAAGAAAGATGTTACTGTACTCCTGCCATGCGACGATGTTTGCTTTTAAAGGAAGCATTATGTTCACCTATTATGTTCACCATCTTGCCACTGGTCACATATACAAAAGATCTATTTACTGGTAGCCAATCATGGAAGGTAGTTTTGCGAAGGGGACATCTACATTCAATGTTGAGGTGTAAAGCCTATACATCTCATTCAAAATGTACACGTTCTTCATTAAGAGGGATGGTGGGGTATCCTAGTGGTTTAAGCGTTGGTTCGTCACACTGAAAACCCGGGTTCGTATCCCCACATTGGTACAATGTGTGAAGCCCATTTCTGGTGTCCCCCGCCGTGATGTTGCTGGAATATTGCTAAAAGCGGCGTAAAACCAAACTCAGTCAGTCAGTCAGTCAGTACACGTTCTTCATTAAGAGTGATGGTGGGATAGCCTAGCGGTTGACACATTTGCTGATCACGCCGAATCCCCGGGATTGATTCCTCATATGGGTACAATGGGTGATGCCCATGTCTGGTGTCCACTGCCGTGATATTGCTGGGATATTGCTAAAAGCAGCGTAAAACTCATTCACTCTTCTTTGGAAGGAGATAAGCAATATTACTAGCACGTTTATAAATATTTGATGTTGTTTCTTCTTACAAAACCGTAGGATTAAAGTAGTTTTCTCTGAAGTTTTGGTTACATTTTTTTTGGCTGTAGAAAGCAAATCACACATCACTCTTTTATGTTTCCTTTAGGCTGATGGTCTAGTTACTGCAGTAGCCGTTGGAGGGGCCGCTGCGCTGGTGGCATTGGCTGCCTACGTTGGAAGTGATGGAAAGAAAGAAAACGAAAAGCAGTCAGAATAATGATGTGATCAATTTCCGCCATAACACAGTTGTGATCGAGTGAAACAGAATACATCGATCATGGACTGATCTGACGAATGCACCATATTTGACAACAAAGAAGTTTACTGGATTCTACAACGTTCCTCACCAACTCGTATCATTCCGGGACAAGCCTAATATTCATGCCTCAGTCATGCTCCTGTTTATTCAGCCTTTCGAAGGATTCCATGTTCACATATCCGTGACTTGGAACTAAACTGACGAGCAAAAGAAAGTACACAGGTTGTGTTTCTTCCAATAAGATACGAATAACAAAACCTTTTGATGAAAAGGAAAATGTACGTTTAATCTCACTGCCATTCGTGTTTTAGCAGCAAAATGACATTGTAACAATAAACAGCGATGTGGTGATGACCACTGCAGACGATTCCTAGGATGCTGGAAGATCACGGCCATTCCACGCAGCGGTCGCGGTAGGTCCATATGCCAGCAGCACGAAGTCGTCATGTCACTGTGAATCGGCTCACGAGATGACCCAATGATGTGGCTGCTGATTAGGTCACCGTCAACATCCGGTTGCGTAGGTGAATAACCCGCAGGTAGCGATCGTCTTGGGGTGTTGTGACTCTGGGACGTCCACTTCTGGGTCGATCACATGTCTGGCCTGTCATATTGAAACGGTTAAACAGCCGAGTTATGGTTTGACTTGTGCAACCCAATGTCTTTGCAATATGGCTGTTGGAAGCACCCATTTGTGACATTCCTATGGCCCGTTCTCCTTGCGCCGACGTCAGTCTTGACATTTTCTCGTGAGATTTTTGTGAAGTGATTGTTCAGTCTCCACGACAAACAGGTTATATACCCTCTGTACGAAAAGGGCTCGTGCATGGGACAATAATCACAACTTTGCGAAAATTCGTGCAAAACACTTACAAATGCTTTTGGTTGCATTTTGGCAAATGGAACATGATGGTTGCGTTCTATACAATCAGTGTTCGTCAATAATTTTACTAGCTAGAACGCAAATTTGGGATTGCAGCAACAATTACACCAGTGTACTTTCTTCTGCTCGTCAGTTTACTATCATCACCATGTTAACGTTCAAATAAGTAATTTTTGGACTTCATCGGTTGCCGTCGCAATGGTTGTTGGCATATATAAATCTATATATTGAGATCTTTTATATACCTGTGACAATGTGCTATTGATGATTCTGACACAGATCATAACGTTGTTGACTCATTTTTACTTATATACAAAAGTGAAGTTTGATATTAAAGGATTAATACAAGGATACTGTTTTGTATTATTTCATCTTCACTGTTTGTTTGTTTGTTAGTTTGTTTGCTGTTTAACCCTGCACTCAGTCAGGACGTGATTGGGGCACATGGCATCATATCCCAAGTGCATAGATTGATGCTCATGATGTTGATCATTGGACTGTCAGGTTTCAGACATTACCAGAACAACTCGTGAAGATCAAGAATTGGCATTCAGAAACATAAATTTGTCATAAGAGGCGACAAACATCATCGTTTGGTTATGCTACATGTCTTCAGAGCTCCAGATAAAATTTTGAGCATGTGGGTATGATACCCATGCTTTTTAAACTAAGTGGGTATTTCCAATTTCAAGTGGGTATCTATACTTTTTGATACCACCATATTTCTAAAATCCGGGTATATATTTCAAATATCAATTTTAAGAGGTGCAACATTTTTTTCATTCGATAATAGAGATAATACAAGATCCTCCAGGTTAAAGATGAATAACAAATAAGAAATATTATGTGCCTTAGTCTACATCTCTTTTGGTGCCGCGAATAGCTAATGTTACAAGTTCATTTAAGATATCACCGTCAATTGAATCTGATTGTGAAACACAGCACTTGCCTATTAATTCATCTAGCAGTCCCCTAATGAAATAGTTTTCTGTTTGTAGTGTAAAAAAACTAGATATATTATTTTGAGTGTGTTTAAGCTTTCGACCACGCTTGCACGAAATTATCGATTGTTTACATTACAACAGCTATTTGATTGGTCGCTATCTATAGATGGGCCAATCAGTGAGGGGTTAACAAACCATGACTGGTATTATATCTGTGTTGCGCATCTTAAATGCGTTTTCAATTATTCAAGATTCTTTTAATCGAGAAAATTTTTAGATGGAAAACTTTAAGTCTACTTCCATTGCTTTGAATTGATACGATACCAACATAATTTTGATCCATTGGGTAAATACGCATTGTTATTTTGACATAGCGCAAACGTAAATATTTAGTGTTTTTTCATACGCTGGCATTTATTTTTCTTGCGTATTTCAACTTTTCTACAGCGCATTATACGCAAATACGCAGCTTATCTGGAGCTCTGCTGTCTTTGTGCACCTCGTTGTATTTGATTTGCACAGATCGATTGTCATGATATCGGTCACTGGATTGTCTGATCCAGACTCAATTTTTTAACAGACTGATTGAATCGAGCTGGTTATATTATGCAGTGTTAAACAGTAAAGAAACAGACACTACCAGAACAAACAAAGATCACTATATGACGTTATTAGCTGTTATTCATATTAAATAACAGTTGGTTGTTTGGTTGATGTTGTTGAAAGGGGCACTCAACAATGTTCCACCTACATTCAGCTGTATGTAACTCATCGAGTCGGGACCATACAATCGAGTGATCAACAGTATGAGCATCGATCTCCGTAAATGGGATACGATGACATGAGTCAACCAAGTCAGAGAGCCTGACCACCCGATCCTGTTAGACGCCTCTAGCACTGGCGACTTCTCACGTCGGTCACAGGGTGGTGGGGTAGCCTAGCTGTTAAAGCGTCCCCTCGTTGCGTCGAAGACCCGGGTTCAATTCCCTTATGAGTACAATGTGTGAAGCCCATTTTTGGTGTCCCACGCCGTGATATTGCTGGAGTATTGCTAAAAGCGGCGTAAAACGCACTCACTCACGTCGCTCACAAGATCATGGTCAGTCTTCATGTCTCCGAACCCGTGAAGGTCAGGGTTAGAATATTGATCTTCAGTAACCCATGCTTGTCGTAAGGGCGACTAACGGGATTGGGTGGTCAGGCTCGCTGACTTGGTTGACATACAGAGTCGTGCAAAAAGTATTCGACTCTTGACGTAATTTCCATAGACTTACTTGTTAATTTAGTGTAGCATACATTTTGTTCATGAATTTAATTTTCGTAAGATCCAAGTCAATTTTTGCACATTTGTGAGGAATCATCTTACCTACAATCACATAATTTCTGTTTAATTTTCTGTAGCTTATTTATCGAATGGCAAAATTTAATCAATATATTCCATGAACTCCTTAACATGGCGGCCTATGGGATTGTGCATCGTGGAACCATACGTTAGTCGATAAATGTGATGCCATTAATTAAATAGTGGTCGGAAAATTGAACTGAAATTATGTGCGCAGAGCAGGGATGATTTCAAACTTGCCTGTCATATTTTACAAAGATCCATCATAAACTCACTTCATGAAAATAATTTATTCTACACTGAAATAACATGTTAGTCTATATGGACATGACGTCAAGAAAACTTTTTGCACGCATCTGTGTATGTCATCGGTTCCCAATTGAGCAGATCGATGCTCATGCTGTTGATCACTGGATTGTCTGGTCCAGACTCGAATAATTACAGACCGCTGCAATATAATAGGAATATTGCTGAGTGCGGCATAAAACTAAACTCACTATGTCTCCAAATGCTTGTGACGTCATCCTACTTCCGGTAATACATGTAGCAGAAGGCGCCGAACGTTAGAGCGATAAGAATGCAATATAACATCCAAA